AATATTGTTTCTGTAACGTATGGAAACATGTAAATCAAAATTTATTCTGCCCAACAAATTGTATTCTACCACAACTCTTCTGTTTATTTATTTCCCATTATTTTACTATGACCCTGAATGAGTCCAGAACCACATGGCAGAAGTTAAGCGCATAACCATGTTACTTCCCTATAGCGTAATTAGATCGATGAAGCAATGGATTATTATATGTTTTTGTGATGAATCTTACAAAATGTGAAACACCTTACTATTTTACTTAGGTTTAGGTCTGGGTCGAAGCGGCTATTAGAGTCCCCAATTAAGTCAAGTATGCTCTTAGTGGCATTGTAATTAACAGTGATGATTATTTTGTTTAAACATGCATACATAATTTAGTTTTCAGATGTGAAGAGCACGGCTTTTTTATAGTAACCGCGTACTATATAATGGTCAATGGTTGGCCATAAAGAATCCACCCGCCATTAATTAAAAGCAAAAAACTAATCATGCGGAAAGACTTATAGCAGGAATACGGTAACATTATGTAAGGTATACTTTGTAACATCGAATTTAAGAAAGAAAAGGATGATGCCATTTACAATGGACTCATCATTTTAATAATAAACAAAAAAAAAAAAAAGAAAAATATGAAAAATGGAAAAATTCTCTGGAGAAAAATTTCTTGACACGTTATTATTTTACGGAAACGTTACAAAATATTTTTATATGCTGAAGTTTTTCTTAATATTTTAAGATATTTTTGAATATTTTAAAAACACAATATTACAAAAATCTTTTAGGCATCTATCTGTGCGTATATGTGCACGTTTTCACAATTCTTTGTGAAATATTCTTTGTTAAGTAAAGTTGAATATAGAAAATTAATTTGATATAGAAAAAAAATTTTTTTCTTTAAAACTTTTTGAAAAGATTTATAAATATAAAAATTGTCCAAAAATATTTTAAGGTCACCAATAAAGAAAATTCTCATTTTTCGTGAGAGTTTTATGGAATTTATTATTAAATTTTCAAAAGTATTCGTTTTAAAATTATTTCCTACAACATTTTATGTTCTTAACCATTTTGATGAAAAGTGCTGGGAATTCTTTTAATTATTTCCAATGAAATTACAAAGTAGTTTTTTTGTTTTCTTTAAATTATGTAAAATATTGCATTTCTTATTAATTTTCCAAGTTCAAAATTTATTTTGAAAAAAAAAAAGTCTATTCGGAACGTATGTACGTTGTTCGTATACATTTTGATCATGAAGGTCTATATAATATTCATTCTAAAATTTGACACATGTATGATGTATTCATTTCAATAAGGCTAGTTAAAATAAGCGAGGTATTGTAATCAACCTAATCTATGATGCTGTGGTTACGATACCGTTGCTTTAACCGAAAAGTTTCGGGTTCAAACTCTATAAAAATTATATAAATATACGATACTGAAAAGAGATATGACCAAAGGAAAGGAACGGCACCAAATAATCCGAGCCTTGTTACTGTCAGAGCATAATAGTCACACAGAATATGTATGGCTGTTTTCCCACCATCCCGACTGAATTTTTACAAAAGTCAATCCGATTTGTCCAGTTTGTGCAGATGATAATTTACCAAAAAATCATCGGTTATGAAGTCAATAATTGTACAAAGTCGATTTCGATCTGTCTCCAACAGTTCTAAAAAAAACTTCCTTGATTCCCCCTCTAAGAGGTTCACAAAATGCGACAAGCCAAACGAAAACAATTGCAGATCGATTCTGTGTCAAAGCGTCAGCAATCTCATTGCCTTTTCGTCCCATGTGCCAATGAAATCCAAATGAACGTTATCCTGTTTTTTGATGCCAACTCCATTAGAGCGAGCACACAGCTCTAACCTCGAAATGAGCCAATTTGAGCGCTAACAACGCTGTTTTGCTGTTGGAGAACACATAGATGGTGCAATTTTTACATCAGGTTTCTAAGAGTGATATTTATATTATTATATCGTATTCACTCTCAGGCAGATCTCTATTGCATACGTTTCAGCTTGAAACATCGAGAAATACAGGTAAGGTTTTTTGTCTTTAGAGGTGCAAAAAACCTTACCTGTATTTCTGTATCAAATAGAACGTTAATAGTTTTTTTCAATTTTAATATAATTGTGCAAATACCTTTTTTATAAACGGTTTTATGCTGATCCCATCATTTTTTTTTAATAAAATTGAACATTAGTTTTATGTAGCTACTTTATCACTAAAATATGAAAAGTATGAATTGTCATTATATTTGACATTTTTATTATTTTAGTCGAGGACTTAGAATTGATGAATGAACACTGAAAGAATAGAAACAGGGAAACTACAGGAAGAAAATTCGTTTCATATTTCGGAAAAATATCACATTCTCTCTTTCTTCTTGATTCGGCTGTCAGCTTGCAAGAAAATATTGAACTGGAAGGAAATTTTAATTTAAGAAGAATTATGGACTTCTTTTCTTTTGAATAAGGTGATGGATTTTGCGTTTAAAAAAACACTATCAAATTTAATTTCTTTAGTCACAAATAAAATTCATTCTCTTCTTCTAAAATTTATTGCAAACTATGAATAATGTGATTTATGACTGTAATTGCGTTTTTCGTGAGTGAAAGTTGTTCAATTTAAAACCAAAACATTTTTTGATATGTTAAGAGAAATGGGAGAATTTGAAGAAGACAGAGAAGGGTCTTCACTTTGACTCTTGCTAAATTTTTTTTCTTTACTTCATTAAAGAAGAATTAAAACGTACTTTTAAAGTACAGTACAGTTTTAAATGAGTAATTATTTTAAATATAAACGAAAGAGCAATATTGTAACTTCAAGGCTTCAAAAATCGGTAAAAACGAAAATTAAATGAAATCATTGAACTTTTATAAATTCCAATAATAATAAGTAGCGCATTCAGTTAGAAGGTTTTTAGTCGCTTTAAATATTTCTAAAATTTCATGTCTATTTCATTAGAAATTAAATTTAAATTTTAGTAATGAATTTTTATTATCATATTTTCCATTTCGTTAGAATTAATTTGTCTTTTAACAACGACAAATGCAATAAAATCACCCCAAATGTTTCATTAGAGAAAACATTAAAATGTCTGGTATTTATTCCGCCATTAGAAATATACCTAGTTACAATTTACATTTATAAATGTTAAATTAATTAAATGAAACCATATAGAAATGAAATTAAATTGAAAATGATACTGGAAACGTAACGAAACTAAGTGTTTTCACGTCAGATATGAAAATCTATGCAATGCTAAATGAGTTCAATAAATCGGATCATAATTTCTAAAACGGAGACGACAAATTTAATAAGAATTATGATGCTAAAAAGTAAAAGTGAATATAGGCTTCTTTATTAATTTAATTATCAAGTGACGTATACAGGTGTAAGAGAACACTAGTATCTTAATAGACTATTAGCTTTAATGAAGATTGCCATATTTTTGAATTTAATTGGAAAATATCTAATAAAATGATTCCCCACTTTAATAAGTTTTCAGTTAAAAAAAATTTTGCCCCACTTTGCACACATTTCCCAATATCGTCATCATATTTTTTGTTTTGCCTTATTATCCCATTCCGACTTCAGTTTAATGTGCAATTTAATTACTATGATAAACTTAAGAAAACAATTTCAAAAAATTTCACAAAAGACTCTTTTAAGATTCTTAATAAACGCACAAAACAATTAAGAGAAAAGGAAAACAAAAAAAGAAGACATATTGTACGACCTTACGAAATTTTTTTAATGAAAAAGACAAAAGAAAACCTTATTTTAATTTTGAGATCAGCTGTGTTGTTCATCAATCAATTGAAATTTTTCACACAAAAATTACAAACAAAAAAAAAGCAATGAAAACAAAGAAAAATTAAAATAAAAATTAATGATTAATAGCATTAAAATTTATATGAAAAAACGTGGCTCCATAAGGATTTTGAATTAGAAATGTATAAATTACATTCTACAAACCTTAAAGAATCATTCTTATGAAAATTCTCGATAGAAGCCCCATAACTATAAGAAATAAATAAGAATTTGTTTCAGTTAATTCCTAAGATTTTTACTTAATTTACTTAATCAATAGAAAAATTTTGTCCTTGAAAATTTCCGAGATGAACTATAGAATATTATCACAGAAAAATCAATCAAAAGATGAAGAGAGAAAATTTAAGGAGAGAGACGCACGTTTTTCTAGATGTGTAATTCAATACCTCTGAAATTCACATAAATCAGTGGCCTCAAACACAAACCGCCTAACTCGAGTTAAGACAAAAATGAGATATGTTTACCAGCGAATTCTCCGTTTTGAGTTTCATATGCTCACAAAATTTGGTGGTTCTACGACTGTTGTAGCCGGAGTTATTGTCGAATTCACACATGACCTAACTCGAAATGGTAACTATGTGCACTTGCACTAATGGCCTAAATCGAGTTAAGGTCAGAAAACATCTTTTTTATGTTTTTGACAAACCACTTATTTCGAGATAGGCTATTGTTGCAAATCGAAATTAGTGACATTTTTTTTTATTTGTATGAATTTTTACAACCGCTTATCTCGAGTTAAGCTTTTATTGCAAAATTAATTTTGAGTTTTTTTAAATACTAACTCGACATAAGCGATTTGTGTAAAATAATAATTGTTGGTTGTTTAAACTAATCTCGAGTTAGGCGATTATTGCAAATACAATTATATTCCAAAAGACTTCTTATGTTGAGTTAGGTTTTTATAACGCGTGCAAGTAAGAACAATACATCAAAATTAAGCGTTTAGTGTTCGAAATAATACATGATTAGTATAGAATATTTTTTAGTTTTTTTTAGTAACAAATATTTTATAACGCTTAGCATATTATTTTATGTGATATATAGTGCAGGTACTTTATGTCCATGGTTTAAAATCTTGTTCACTATAGTTATAATTAAATCTTACATTCAGCGACAATTAAGATAGTTGTATTTTTTAACCCAAAATATAAAACATCTGCACAAGTTACCTGCATTATTAGTGCTCTTATTACCCAAATATCCCATGTTTAAGATTTGAATTTTTTTATTTAACAAATAATATTGTAGGTCATTTCGTGGTTTACCTGCGACAAATGTTTTTTTCAATTGACGGAGTAGATTGTTTTGCCTTTGTAAAACACATGTTATTAGGAAGATCAAAATTTTGTGTTATTACAAAGCAACACTTTTATTATACACTAGTAAAACACATTTTGTTAGGATATTCAAACTATTATAATTTGCAAGAGTTTTCAATAAATAAAATTGGTACATCTGGGAATAACAATATTTTGTTATACTTTTTGTTACTCATTTCCGTGAGATCAAATTTCTTCGATTTTCAAATATTTATGATATTTTTGTTATTTCGAAGCAATTATTTTTTACAAAGACAGTTATTTATTATTGTTTTTAAATGTGCTGATGTTGGAAATTGTTAAATAATGCAAAAATTATCCAATATAAACTTTATTCACGCTTAATAAATGTGCGTTAAAAATTTTGGAACTTGCTAGGAGAGCTGAGATGATTGTGGCGGATGTTAGAGGTATTGCAATATATTTGAAACTAACATAACGGATTCAAAGTGTTTTAAAGCATAGAAATTAGCGAAACTGGCCCTATAGTAAATAAACAAGTATTTACACAACAGATCTTACTTTGAAAACCGAAGTTAATACAGTTTTGAAAACCGCAATTGACTTTGGTCGTGGTGACTGTATTAATGATCCTGATTTTAAAATTGACAACATTCAAAAGCAAGTTTTCGGGTCCTATTGGGCATGTGAACATATCTGTAGAGATAAAAAAATATGAAAGGCTTTCTACTTTTATTCTTTTAAGAAAAATCCTTTTACAATTTGCCGAACGGTTAGAAAAATTCGCTTCATCTTTCCCGACCGGACTTCCTGAATGCACTCAAGTACATGAACGCTCGAAACTTACTCGTGGTCAATTTGTATGGAGTCTTAATTGAAAAGTAAATGCTGACAGCTAAAATAAAAATGTCGAGCAAACTTACAATATTCTTTGTTTATTTGATAATCAAATACTTATATACTCTATGATAGGAGAGCGAATTCCGAACCAATTTACTTTGCCACAACTTTTTACGGAGATCTATATACTTTTTACAACAGAACTTAGAGAAAAACTGACGAACAAACCATTTTCTACATGTAATTAATAATACGTCTCCAAGATTTAATTTTCACAAGTATCGAATTATTATTTTCTATACGAGTTTGAGTTCACTATCAAATTTGACTTTTCATTACAGTAGTTGTAATGACTCACACTCGATTTTATTTTGTTTTCGATTTAAAAATTTTAATTAATTCTCATTTAGTATCATTATGAACAAGTAAGAAAGTCATATGGACTATAGTACATAAATAAAATAACAAACACAAAACTCATAAACTCATTTTAGAGATTACTTTATGTGCTCATTTTTACAATAATGTAACAACTTTGTCAGATCCGTTGCACAATGAAGCCTTTTTGTAATTAAATTACTTTTTGAAATTCTCTTAAGTGGAAAGAGTCGCACCACAGATTTCAAAAAATTGACTTCCAAAAATATTTTACAAGAACAGTTTATACAAAGATTTTTTATATTTTAAGACGAGGTGTTAACTAGTTAGATTTTCAAGACATGCTCCAAATTGAAGAAGAAGAGAAAATTAGTCCCAAAAAAGAAAAACTTAGAGTACTTGATGCAATTTTTTTATCTGTTGGTTTACAAATTTTACAAAGCGATAAAGACTGGAGATTTAGCAGATACTCATCCATATTTAGTTGGAGAATCCGAGAGAGAATAAAAGATACTGTCACCTTTCTTAAATTTAATAAAAAAATTATTTTTAAACTTATAGAAATAATTTGTACTTGAAGTTTATTCATTTTTTACCTCAATTTATGTTTTTTATGACAATGATTTGAAAAAAGAGTGAAAAATCAAATAACGTAAAAATAATATATATATTTCTTCCCTTTTTAGTATAACTTAAGTCACCTAAAACCATATCTTCAGTTTTGCAACAACAGCTTAAATCGACTTAAATTTGACGAAAATGCAAAAGTAATTTTTCACAAATCGCCTAAGTCGAGTTATGCTTTGCAAAGTGCTTTTTATAAATTTTGTATAACCGCCTATCTCTCTTTTTTCATAATTAAGAGAATACTATTAGTTGTTTTACTTCAGATTATGAGTTAATCGCTTCCTTTTTTAATTATCTTTCAATCAAAAAAAAAATTGGTTCAAAAAACTTCATAACTTTTTTCAAAATTTAATTTAAAGTTTAAAATGCATTTATCTCGAAATCACTAAAACAGACTTAAGTCGTTTGTGCTTGAAGCCACTGAAATATTCTCAGGATTCTATAGATAAAGAAAACCAAACTGAAGATAAAATTCTATTAAATTTTAATAATAATTTTATAATTGAAAAATTATTAACTGACATTAAATGAAATTGAAAAACTGAAAAACAAAAGAAAATTTTTCAATTATATAATTAGAATAAGAATATAATTAAGTATAAGAAATAGAAAAACTGAAAACAAAATTACAAAAATATCATTTGAATTGTAATTAAGTTGGGATTATTTTCAATTCAAATTCTGAATAATGATTCAAAAATGTGAATCAGAAAAATTTGGCAAGAAAATGCCTATAAAATATAGAAAACCTTAAATTATTTTCTATTCAAAAAATTTTCAAAATTGAATCACTCAATATTTTAGTTGAATGAGAATCATAGGAATTCGGGAGTGGCACAATTAAATAGAATGAAATGCATTTTTGAAGGTGTCTTAAGTAATACATACAGGTGTTATTCAATAGATTTTGAAAAAATACCATCTCTTGTTTAAAAACGAGAAAAAAAAATTAAGTTGACCTTGTCAACTCTGTGATACCCGTACGAATTTGTTATCCTATGTGCGAATAACTAATGTGCCATAACTAACTGTGGGGCAGACTATGACTTTAAGTTGCCGTATTACCATATTAATTTATGCAAAATTTCAGTACTATGTGTTTTTCAAAATACTGGTTGTGCCAAACTACTATTGAAGTTGTATGGCAGCTACCAGAAAGAGTCAAGAAATTTTAGCAAATTTTATCAAGCACATTGGCCCTACTAATATTTTCATTTGTGTGAAATTTCAATACCATAGCTGTAATAGTTTCTGAAATATAGTCAAATAACTTTTGAAGTTGTATGGCAGGTACCAGAAGGAGTCAAGTAATTTCAACGGCTTTTATGAGTAACATTGGTCCTACTAATATATTCGTTTTTGTGAAATTTCAATACCACAACTTTTATAGTTTCTGAGATATAGCCAAATAAATTTTGTAGTTGTATGGCAGCTACCCGAACCGGTACCCCGATCATGTCCAATTTAAATAGGGTTCTGGCACTTACTACAAAAATCATTTGTGAAAATTTGGTGAACTTAGCTCAATTAGTTTTTGAGTTATCGTTGGGACGGACAGACAAAGCTAAATCAACTCAGAATTTGACGCTGATCAAAAATATACACTTGAGTCTATATCTAACGCCCTTATTTTTTAGCGTTACAAGCGGTAAGGCAAATTTAGTATACCCTTCGAACATACGTTCGTACGGGTATAAATACTCGGAACAATAATCTCATCAAGTTTTCTATTATTTAGGCTTACAATGGGATTGATAAGATTTTTGTTTCTAAAACAAAATATGACCTTAAATGAAGAAAATTTTTAAAGAAAATTATTGAAATTTATATTAAATTGTTCATAAAACATTTTTAAAAATTTCGGTTGTCAGTATGTACTGCAAAATATATTCGATAAACTCTTACTTCAAAATATATTTTTGAAACGGCAACACGACGTCAACAGCTGCGGAGTTCCAATGTTCCTTCTAATATAGGTCATATTCTCATATATACATGATATGGGTAGTACAAAGCACAGAGATGCCTTTAGAAAATGTCTATAGAAGTCAATCATTCTAATGAACACAAGAGACTTGTGGACCATACCCTCATCTGACAAAAGAATGGACCATACGGATCAAAATTTGTACTGAAATAGAATCTGTGCTGAATGAAATACCGACATATATAAAAACAAAAAAACTAATTTAGGAAGTACATATATGGAAACCTTAAGACTTCGATTTAATGCTCAAACGAAATGTTTGTAGTAAATTTACTACAATTCCAATAATATCGAAATTACATTTCCCTTACGGATAACGCTAAAATGATAACCTTATTGTCATACAAAATTTGAATTATGTAATTAATCAAATTTTTTGAAAGTAAAAAAGAAAGAAAAAACATTTCTAATTTAATTTTGTTTTCAAACAATTTTCATCTTCTTGGTTTTATTTTTTAAAGGATTCTTTAATTTATTTCAGTAAACATTTGTGATAATTTCATTTACAGCTAATTATTCCTAAAAAGAATCAATTTTAATCAATTTTTTTATTATTTTTTTTAATATAGTCAATCTGTCAACTAAAGTGAGTACCTCATTTTGATGAAGGAGTCAATTACAGTGTGCATTATGACTTAGGTAAACAAAAAACAATTTTTTAATTTATTATTTTGTTTAATCATGTCATGACTTTATTTTGGATTAAAATTAAATTAAATTTTGTGTTCTTTTTCCATTTTTTTTAATATTTTGATTACTGTAACATTGAAAAACTGGAGCAAATCTATATTACTGAAATTAGGGAATTGGAAAAATAATTAAATTTGGAGAAAACTGAACTGCAGTGTTAATAATTAATATTCTATTCATGTTGAGCTAATAATCGGGAAACAAAATCATTGTCTGAAGCGAACATTAAATTTGAAAAATAACGCGGTATTAGAGGGTAGGAGATAAATTTATTCACGATGGTAGACGAATATACTCTTCATAATAGAGTTAACTCTTGGGTCTTGACGAGAATGTTATTGTCAAGTATTCTAAGACTTTAAAATTTTTGTGTGTGATCAGTGGTCTATTAGAATTTAAAATAC